ATTTGGGTAAATAATGTGCTTTTTTTCAGCAAGCAGCAGTTTTTGTCACAGTTAGCTGCAGGTGAATATTCCATGAAACTGGGCAATGACAAACCGACAAAATTAGCTCCCATGGCTGCAGTGACGTTGCTATCCATCTATAGAAGCGATGCATTTTTTGTGAATTGGACCCAAAGGGGGGAAGTCCGTATGTGAATTGGAATTATTGACATAAAACTGTGAGGAAAAGAGGCGTAACTGTCGAAAGTAAGTAACTCTTTATCAGACTCTTGGGGGTGTAACTGCACACTAAAACTTTTGCAGGCATTAAGGTTTTTTCTCTACATTCTTAACACTGTTATTTTGTTACAGGATGAAACATTCAATCTTCAATCAGAAACCTGAATTTATAATCCTCTCAAACATCATTAAAATATCAGCAGAGATGTCTGAAATATCATCCTAAACACAGCTCAGCCAACGGTCCTCCATGCCAGCTCCTCTCTCTCTCTTACACACACACGCAAATCTTGACCTCACCTCAGCGCCCTTAATTAGTTAGAAACAATTATCTGGAGTATGGAGGCACACAGGATTAGATTCATTATCAGAACAACCTCTCATGTGCTGCCACGGCCCCCTGAACCTCGAGCAGTGTCTTAGTGAGAAGCCATCGTGTCCTCTGCCTTCAGACACAGCAGCAGTTAAACACATTCTGCCAAGATTCAAAGCCAGCCTGTCCCAAGGTCGATACACTTGGCGGCATAACCAAGTGTTGAAGTGCCTGGCGGTAGCAAATGAGAGTTAACAAACCAAAATCAATTTCATACACAGGGGCCGTGGACTTTATGCATGGCTAGTTCACTTTCAGCTAAAGCAGAAACAAAGTGATGGCATCTCAAACGCCTCAGATCAGAACGGACCAGGACCTGATGCTGGTGGATGTTACAGTATTGGTCTCAGAGGGAGAACATGAGGGAAGAAAAGGATATCAAGAGGCTTTAATGATCCATAAGCCATCAACAGCATTATCAGCCACAAAAACAGCCTTCAAGTGAACAATAACACAGAAATGTTTGTTGGCTGGCAATGGCAGTCCTTTTAAATCGTTTGCTTTCATGAGGCTAAATAGTTTCATATGAACCTAAATCACAAAGTGAGGCTGCGTTGGAGGAGAGCGGCCCATCCTCGCATGTTGTAAATTCACTCCATTTGCCCAAATGAAACTGTGGTGTCAGCTATGTAACTATGTCCACTTCTCTCCCTGCTGAGATCAATCAAAACGTCACAGTAAATATAAAGCTGTCTCCTGAGCAGCCATGTTTGTAAGCAGCACTAAACAACAGCTTGTGTAAAAAATCAGTGTAAAGAACCACGGCATGGCCGGGTTGTAACATAAGACCCGTATCTAATATTAGAGGTATCGCAGGTCGTTCCTTCCTGCGGTAGTAAGCCTAAACAACCAGCTCTGCTCCTAGTAAAAACTACATTCACCACAATTATTATGGACTGCACTTTAACAGTAGGTCTCATCTGTCTGTGCAATATCAACGGTTCGTTTGCAATCCATTCACTGCAAATATCGACAGACCGCAAGAGCTGTGATTGGTCCGCTAGGTAGCATCACATCTCCGCCATTTTTGAATTGAGTTGAACAAACCACCAGGGACGACGTCTGTCTTTGCTTTGTTGCAGGTCTTCAAAAAAATATTTTTTTCTTTTAGGTGGCGTTACATGCTGTAACTATGTTATGACTAATGGCCTCCAATTCATACAATAACACAGTGGTGGTATTAATCTCCTCATCTAACTTTTCAAATTAACTATTAAATAACTTCCAAATTATTGAACCTTAATAACTAAACATTAATCCACTTACTTTATAAGGTTCTCCAAACAGGTTGAATCCAGTTGAGAACAGGTCTTCATCCTGTTGGACCTCCTGATTCCTCCTCTCCCACTCTCTCCTCTTCAGGGCGCTGCGCTCTGACTCCAGATGACTGGAAAAGAAACACAAAGAAAAAAGCTTGTTAGCATCTCCCACTGCGGCCGACACATGGCCTGGCACCAAAGAAGCCCACTGGTTTTTAATGAGTGTTGCTAACGAGTCGTTATTGGAACCGCAAAGAGCGTTTTGCTCTTTTCCCGCAGTGTGATTAGAGTAGTCACATAGCTTGCACAGGAAAATAACAGGGGAAATAATGTCACTGCATCGGGTGAAAATGACTCAAATTGCATATACAGAAAGTGGAGGAAAAGATGAGGAAAAAAAACGGCATCTTTTAGGGAGTTTCAAAATGCCAGAAAGAATGGTTTTATCAGACAAGATTTTGATAGAATGTTTGTAATATAAATATAATTATTAATGAAGCTGAAAGGTTTGTTTAGATTACTATTTTGACAGGCTACTTAACAAACCTGGCTCTCTGATATGTCACTAAATATTATTTAAGTCACTTCGAACACTGGCTGTCCTCACTGAAATAATAATCCTGCTCATTTTTAACGTGCAGACATAAAGAAAACATCGAAAGCTTTATGTCTCTTTGAATTAGCTCAGCAGTGGGTTTAGTTATTTTTCTCAGGTCCTTGGATTAATTTCAGTAGTCTATAAATTTGAGCTACCAGATTATCAAAGCACCATTAAATATTTATGTCATGCTGCTACTTTCATCAGAACGTCCTAAAAACTTCTGCTTTAAGTAGGAAAAATCATTAGGAATAGTACACAGATTGTTTTATTCATCATTAACTTCATTATTTGCTACAAAAAAATACTACATTCTTAGTCCTACTGTTAAGCACGGCACTGAAACTATGAACTGTTGACCTTAGCTTTGTGTATGGATATATATTGTTTGGTTCTTTCAAAATTGAACGTATATTTCACGTAAATCATCTTTAAATCACAACCCATTGGCTGTTAGCTACATGTAATAATGAGCTTTAGAGGTGCTGGTTGTTTCCTGCAGTGATGCTCTGCTCTTCTTTTTAATTTTTATTACAGATCTGGCTGTTCCTGCTGCCCTCTCTCCTCACATCTCTCCAACGCTTGATGTGCATATTGCTCAGCTAGTGGCCATTGGTTGTACAATACTATTGACAGTGGTGGGTAGACTAAACAGAAACAGTACTCGTGATACTTGAAACTTGTGTTTAAATAGGATATTAAGAGGTAACAACGATGTAAAGTGCAAATTTATTGTAATTAATAAAGTGACATATTCAAAACTAGGCAAATGCCAAAATATATGAAAATACACTTTTTGCTTTCAAACATCAAGAAAAAACCCTGAACCACTGAATCCTCATAGGAAAGGCTTGGAGGCCAACTATATTGTTTCCAAAACAAACTGAAATGTAACTTAAAATGTTAAACTAATTAACGCAAGATAGGAAAACATGGACAAGTAAAAATAATATTCCAATAAATTAAACAAAAAAAATGATATGACATTGAGAGGTGAAGAGAACAAGTATAGGCACGTGATACACTGCCATATATATGTATGTGCCTGAACGCAGCCTTAGATCCTCAGGTGGCTGTTCCAAAGTCGTGGTTAAAAACTAGCAGTAACCGTGCTTTTGCCATCAGGGCCCCTCAGCTATGAAGGCTCACAGAGTCAGTGACTTCTTTCAAATGACTTCTTAAAACCCACTTTGATAGACTTGCTTTCATGTGATGTTGGGTTTTACTGTGTTTTTATTGTTTTCTTTTCACCCTTTATTTTATTTGTTCATTTATTTTTATTTCATACTACTGCTTTCATGTGTTCAAGTTGTTTTTTACTTTTCTTGTTTTGTTGTCAAAGCACTTTGTTAACTCTGTTTTTAAAAAGTGCTATATTGATAAAGTGTATTATTATCATATCTTTATTTTCATCATATCTATATATAGATATATATAGATAGACTATGTATAGTGTATATTACAATGTTGAACTACAGTTGTGTACCCACAAGGGTTTCCAGAAATAACCGATGCTATACTTCTAACACATTTGGAACAATCCAGTTAAAAAATCTCACCCAGTAAATAATAAAATGAAAATAAAACATTTAATGAAGTTAATCATAAGTCTTTAATGGAAACCAGAAAACAAAAAACTAAAAGTACGACCAAAGTACAAGACATAAATTGTGTTTTACAACTGCAACATTAGCCAGAGCTCAAAAAGGCAACCTTTTACAGTTTTTCTATTTATAGTAGGGCTAATATGATGTAACATATGCCATTAGCTGGGTACTTTCATTCATGAGTGCATTCATTTTTAACGTAGGTGAGCCCACTGGGAATTGAACTCCTTATCCAGGCAGTGTTTATGACATGCTGTACCCACTGAAGCAAACCACTCTGTAAAGGCCAGATGCATTTAGAGCCAGTTTTAGTTTAAACCTCACTGTGTATCCTGTCAGTGCTGTTGGATGATTCCCAACAGAATTTGCTTTAAATCTTCTAACATTTCTACAATCCTGTTTTGAACTGTTGTTTATTGATAGCCAGAATTTGGCTTGACTATTTGATTCATGATTGGTTCTTGTCTTGCAGACAGCTGACAGTAAATTATGATAGGAATGGCTGGAAGCACTGAAGTGGTCTGTCTTAAAGTTTTTGGATCATGGCCGTTACATAAACATGTTTTTAAAGCAAAACCCCTTTAACAGAACGGTTACAATTCATCCTGCTCTCCTAAATTTCTTCACCGGCCTCCACAGAGAAATCTAAAAGCTGGAGGCCAAACCTGAATATCCAAAGTACAAAGTAATATTTATGAGTATGTGTGAGAACTGGTTATGCATGAGGCTGTGTCCTGCTGACCCAGGAAAGGGCATCCTGTTTTATCACATCCACTGCCGAGAGATGAGACAGGCAGGGTAATTAGCGATCAACACAATTAAAATAGACTTTCTCTATTTCTCTACCAGACCTCACTTTCAACATTTAATCTATCAGCAATATGTGAGTGGGAGGGAGAGAGAGCGGAGAGGCAGAAAGAGAAAAGAGGAAAAAAATCACGGAGGCCCATGGGAGAAAAAAAAGACCCAGTTTCAGGGCAACAGACACTTTCTTTAAAAGGAAAGAAAAATAACAGAATGATGAAAGACAGAGTGGAGGGATGGGGAGAGGAAGGTGAAATAGGAGGAAAGCAGGAGCAAAAAACAAGAGAGCAGCGGGAATATACCAGACAAAATGACTGACAGGTTTGTGCATGTGTGTGTGTGTGTGTGTGTGTGTGTGTGTGTGTGTGTGTGTGTGTGTGTTAGCATGTGTATGGCAGTATACATAGATGTGATCATTGTGTGTGCTGGGACTGCTGCTTGACATGTGCATTGTCTGTCAGTGCAGAAAGATAACTGACAGAGCTGTCATTTTGATAAACACACACACATACACACACACACACACACACATGCAGTGCTACAGTCCCATGTGAGAGATCCCTGTCCCTGTCTCCGTGTGTCACACGCTACATTGACACAAAGGGAATCAGGGATCAGACAAGGTAATTAACACATCCAGGATGTATTTCCCACCATGTGGCAGCGACACAGTAAAAAACTATCTGTCATACACTGGATAACCTTTCCTTTTACCCTCCACCGAACTCTTTTTTTTTACAGGCGTCAGAACCACAGTGCTGTGGTCAGACAGGTCAGTAAGAAACTTTACAGCCACCTGCTCTGACACGGTAAAACACAATTGTTGTACTTAAAGACACTAAGTAAAGACATTTTAATATTATTTTAAGAGAACTATCAAAGACATTTATGTGTTTAAGTTCCTTGAGTTAATTAGCAGGTGAAGCTAATTCTATGAAGAGGTGCATTAAACCACTGGAAACACAGCTCATGAAGCTGATGTAATCAATCGAAGGAGCTGCACTCAATCTTCAAATTGTGAAAAAAATGGGGCTTGAAATGCACATTAATGCCAGATCAAACAGTTTTGAGTTTTGGAGTACTTGGGTAATATTACACCTATACTATTAGGTTAAATGTTATTTATTATGCTTGGAAATTAAGTACATATTATCTTTAATTGTTGTGTATTATAGTGGCAGCGCCCCCTATGGTAGTGTTCTGCAGTAGTTTTGCATTTTTGGCTTGGACTGACTGGTTATTTGTTTCAAACATAATTGTTGGCAATATCTAGAGCTGCGATGATTGGTCAATGAGTCAGTCGAAAAAACATCAGTAACAATTTTTATTATTTATTATTGGATCAAAATGGCAATAATACATTGATGGTTCCAGGTTCTCACCTAAATATTACATATTTTTTTAGTTTTCGATCATAAGTTGAAAAATGCTCTTTTACATTCTGATGAGCTTATTTCTGTGTTTTAATTGATTTATAAGAAAAGAATTGTCAGGCTTATAGACAATGAAAACAGTGATTACTTACAGTCCTGGTGAGCTCACTTTAGTTCCAGCCTCCACACATGCAGTGCAGTGTGGAGGCTGATGTTTTTAGTCCCAGCTGTTATTGAACAATCATTGTGATGCAGTAACTCTGTGGCCGAAGTTACAGAAGCTAAATTTAAGTTTGACATCGAACTACAGATATTCTGATTTTAACTGTCTTCTGATGTCCATCGTGTTCATATTCTTATTCATATTGTGATGATATTAGTTTGATACAGAGATGGCATCTGGATCATTTAGTTTGTCAGCATTAACAGCAACGCTTTCAGAGTAAAAAAAAAAGATGATGGACAGACTGGCAGATGGATGGATTGGTGGGGATTAATGGCAGTGGTGATAACAGCAGTGGGCAAACTGCCGATGTTGATATTTCCTGTGAATAAAAATGTAGCTGTGGCAGAATTTTTTTCTACCACTCTGCTTTCCTCCTGTGTGTGTATGTGTGTGTGT